CGTCTAAGCTCCAGTGTAGACATCATTCGGCCAGTGGAAGAATTCTACCATTGACCAAGCTACGGCCTCTCAAGCGAGTGGGTTTACTGTAGGAATGGAAGCCCGTCGCTGTAGCAAGTGTCTACGCTCCAGCACCACGGCTGCAGCTGTGCCTCTGTGGTGCTGGTAGCGTAGATACATGCAGAGAGAGTGAGCCCGTGTGGGGCCTCAGCTCAAGGCTCTCTGCTGATCCCCAGCGCCGTGGCAAGCTGTTCTAAAGTCTCTCCTTTGGCTTGTGCACACGAACGATGCCTTTACTTGTCCAGAGGGAAGTAGGTATATTTAAAAAAAAAAAAAAGGGAGCTGGAGCAGTGGTGATGGCCCTGTGATAAAGCCGCACGCTGCAGCTTCCACCTGGATGGCAGGGGTTTGTCCCTCTGCACGGATGAGGTGACCAGGAATTTCTGGGCTCCCTGCTCTGTGAGTTTTCCAGGGACTGAGGTGAGACTGACTGGTCTGTAGTTCCCTGGATTCTCCTTCTTCCCTTTTTGAAAGATGAGCACTATATTTGCCTTTTTCCAATTGTCTGGGACCTCCCCTGATCGTCACAACTTTTAAAGGATCATGGCCAATGGCTCTGCAATCACATCAGCCAACTCCCTCAGAACTCTCGGATGCATTAGATCCGGCCCCATGGACTCGTGCATGTCCAGCTTTTCTAAATAGTCTTTAACCTGTTCTTTCACCACAGAGGGCTGGTCACCTCCTCCCCATACTGTGCTGCCCAGTGCAGCCGTCTGGGAGCTGACTTTGTCTGTGCAGACCGAGACAAAAAAAAGCATTGAGTACTTCAGCCTTTTCCACGTCATCTGTCAGTAGGTTGGCTCCCCCATTCGGCAAGGGGCCCACACTTTCCCTTACCACCTTCTTGTTGCTAACCTACCTGTAGAAACCCTTCTTGTTACCCTTTACATCCCTTGCTAGCTGCAACTCCAATTGTGTTTTGCCCTTCCTGATTACACCCCTGCATGCTCGAGCAATATTTTTGTACTCCTTCCATGCCATCTGTCCAAATTTCCACTTCTTGTAAGCTTCCTTTTCGTGTTTAAGCTCACTGAAGATTTCTCTGTTAAGCCAAGCTGGTCGCCTGTCATATTTGCTATTCTTTCTGTACATCGGGATGGTTTGTTCCTGCACCCTCAATAAGACTTCTCTAAAATACAGCCAGCTCTCCTAGACTCCTTTCCCCCTCATATTAGCCTCCCAGGGGATCCTGCCCATCAGTTCCCTAGGGAGTCAAAGTCTGCTTTTCTGAAGTCCAGGGTCCGTATTCTGCTGCTCTCCTTTCTTCCTTTTGTCAGGATCCTGAACGCGACCAATTCATGGTCACTGCTGCCCAGGTTGCCACCCATTTCTAATTCGCCTACCAATTCTTCCCTGTTTGTGAGCAGCAGGTCAAGAGGAGCACGGCCCCTAGTTGGTTCCTCCAGCACTTGCAACGGGAAGTTGTCCCCAACACTCTCCAAAAACTTCCTGGATTGTCTGTTCACTGCTGTATTGCTCTCCTAGCAGATGTCAGGGTGATGAAGTCCCCCATGAGAACCAGGACCTGTGATCTGGAAACTTCTGTTAGTTGCCGGAAGAAAGCCTCGTCTACCTCATCCTCCTGGTCTGGTGGTCTATAGCAGATGCCCACCACAACATCACCCTTGTTGTTCTTGCCTCTAAACTTAACCCAAAGACTCTCAACAGGCTTTTCTCCAGTTTCATACTGGAGCTCTGAGCAATCACATTGCTCTCTTACATACAGTGCAACTCCTCCACATTTTCTCCCCGGCCTGTCCTTCCTGAACAGTTTATACCCATCCATGGTAGTACTCCAGTCATGTGAGTTACCCCACCAAGTCTCTGTTCCAATCACATCATAGTTACTTGACTGTGCCAGGACTTCCAGTTCTTCCTGCTTGTTTCCCAGGCTTCTTGCGTTCATGTACAGGCACCTAAGATAACTAGCCGATTGCCCTACTTTCTCAGTATGAATCAGGAGGCCTCCCCGTTACACCCTCTTCCTTGTGTTTCCTCCCGGTATCCCACTTACCTCCGGGCTTAGGTCACCATCTCCCGGCGAACCTAGTTTAAAATCCTCCTCACTAGGTTAGCCAGCCTGCCTGCGAAGAGGTGCTTCCCGCTCTTCGTTGGGTGGATTCCTTCTCTTCCTAGCGATCCTTCCTTCCAAACAATTCTGCCTGACGGGCTGAAGAGGAGCTGGAAACACCAGCTTCCAAACTCCTGGGGTCTTGGGTCCCCATTAGCCCACCAGGCAGGAGGCTGGACGTACAGGGTGCCTGGCAGCATGCCAGATGGGCTGCCGAGTTGCTAGGTGGGTGAGGTGGCAGGAGACTTGGCTGTCTGGATACCTGTCTGGATTCTGTTGGAGCTTCGTCAAAATCATACTGTCTTTGCGCCGTTTCTGTTTAGGTGAATCTGCCATCCCTGATGCAGAACTGTTCTGCTGGAGGATTTCCATGCAGCTGTAGTGAGCAGCCGGGCTGGATTGGAACTGAGTGCCTCCTAGCCAGTACTGAATGGAAGTTAATGGAGGGAATTTGGGTTTGATACAGCAGGAGGAGGAGAGGCTGACTTGTTTTGTAAATGGACATTGAGGGGGTTAGATCTGGCATCCTGGTAAGCTGCTGCAGGAGACTGTAGGTACCAGACCCAAGCATGGAAATGGTGTAGGGAGAGCCACTGTTGTTTCCCTGCTGTTTGTTTCTGAGCGTGCCTTTCCCATCCATTTCCCTGTACTGCTCACCAAAGGCCTGGAACAGCACTGCGAGCAACTGTGTCAACACGGAGAGTTGTTAACACTGATGTGTTTCCTGCGCATGTTTTGGCAGCTTTAAAATACTTGGGATTTCCTTTCACTGGGTCAGGTATTTTAAGCATCAGAGTCCTCCTAGAACAGGTGGAGACCTTAGAGTTTGTCACCAGGTACAGTAGTGCTGATTCCCATGCCATGGAGAGGGCTGATGGCTGTAGGCAGAGCAGTCCTAGCTATGTTTCAGCACCATGTCCTGTACATTACTGTGCGTTTCTAAACTAAAAAATAACCACTCCCCCCGCAGCTCTAATTCCTCACTTTCCGCTTCATGTCACTTACTGACAGTCCGGGGATCCCACACTGCTTTACAGACCATGTACTGTTGGGGGCGCTTCACCCACCTCTGGGACGGAAATGCAGCCTCCGTTCTATTCTAGCCCCACTGCAAAGCTGGTTTCGTTAGCGGCGTGGAAGGAGAAGTGACAATTCATGTATTCAGTTAAAAACGCAGGAGGAATTTAGGACGGCGGAATGTGATTATTGGTGAGGGAACTCAGACCCTTCCGGGGCAAGTGCCAGGGGACCTTTAAGTGATCAGCGCCTGTTTGTCTCCTCCTGAAATCAGGGTGGTGATAAAATACAACTGTAGGAAAACAGTCCTAAACACTGATGTCACTGCTGGTCATCCCATGCCCAGTGTATCTAACCCCATCTGTACTAGACAGACGAGTCAGAGGTGCTTAGAATTCCTAGGCTCATTTTTGATGACCTCGGCTGTATGAGGGAGTGGGAAGCCCCATTATCAAGACTATATAATCTCCTCCTAGGATGGATTCCTGTAAGCCAAGTGAAAAGTTCTCCCTTGTGCACTGCTGAGGTGGCTCAAAAGCCTCCCCTTTACAGAACTCCCCTAAAGAGGTCAGCAGCACGTGGCTTTCATTGGAGAGGTGCCCTGTCAGCGGGATGCCTCCCCTTTTCCACCTTCTTTTAAACACTGCTCGGAGTGGATTCGCCGCCTTCGATGGCGTTGTCATTATTTCTATAGCATAGAGCAGTGGCTCTCAGCCAGGGGTACGCAGGGGTCCTCTGGGGGGACATCAACTCACCTAGAGATTTGCCTAGTTTTACAACAGGCTACATAAAAAGCACTAGTGAAGTCAGTACAAACTCAAATTTCATACAGACAGTGACTTGTTTATACTGCTCTATATACTATACACTGAAATGGAAGAACAGTATTTATATTCCAATTGATTTATAATTATATGGTAAAAATGAGAAAGTCGGCAATTTTTCAGTACTGGTGGGCTGTGACACTTTGGTATTTTTATGCCTGATTTTGTAAGCAAATAGTTTTTAAGTGAGGTGAAACTTGGGGTACACAAGACAAATCAGACTCCTGCAAGGGGTACAGTAGTCTGTCTGGAAAGGTTGAGAGCCACTGGCATAGTGTCTCATTAAAATACACACTTCTTAAATGAGCAGGAAGAGGTATCTGGTGTCCTGGGCACCTTACCTACATAGGAACCACTTACAGACTGGCAGGCTACAGCAGAGGTGCCTGCTTGTTTACAAACCACCTATCCTCCGTTATTTGTCAGTCAAGAGCCTGGCCAAAAAAGATTGTTTAAAAAGTCCCCTAGGACGCCTGTGCTTTAGATTTCATAGCATTACCCCAAACCTGAGATCGTCTCTGCTTTCAGGTGCTGGAATCTCCCTGAGAGCGTGGCAGCTTTCACTAGGACCCCTGTGTTGATTGTATTGGTGTTCTGAGCCCTCACAGGTTGCTACATCTTGGAGAAAAGCAGCTTTTCTTACTGAGGAATGTGGGAGTCTTTACAATTCTGTTCAGATCAGATAAAATATACTTTAAAAACAAATCCTAGCTTCTCCTTATCGGTCAGAAACTTAAACTGATCTACAGACCAAAAGTCATTAGCTTGGCTTGGACTGAAGTAGATAGCGACCTGTAAACTGCTTTAGACTGCCTGGGCAACTGGGTCCTCAAATCCACAATGGGTTTCTAGTCAATTTCAAATATAAGTTTTCAGGAAGCTGGGGAGGGAGGAACACCAAGAAATGAGATTAAAAATCAGCACAAAGTGAAGTCTGCTGTATTAAAGCCCCAACTCCAGAATGGGGCTGCTGTGTGTTCATGCCACTCCTTGCTGGTAACATTGAATTTATTCCATTTATTCAGATCCAGATTTTTGAAGATGGAGCAGATACAACATCTCCAGAAACCCCAGAATCTTCTGCCTCAAAGGTCCCCAAAAGAGGTATGGTCCACTCGTCTTTCTTACGAGTCCTTATCTCCCTTCATTCCAGCCCAAGAGGGATCCATATGTCAGACATCCAGCATTGCCTAGAATCGGAGCTCTTGGGGAAATCTTCACCCATCCCTTCTACCTTTTCTCCTGCCAGAGGGGAGCCTCCGCTGGGACACGTGGAGGTGCAAGCATAGCACTTACTGGTGCACTGCTCCTTTAGTTTAGCGTTCCAAGGGCATCTCAACAAGCACCCAGGGAAAGGCTATAAAGGCCACCCAGGATCCCCACTAAGGGCTGGATCCAGAGCCCTCTGAAGTTGATGGGAGGCTGCTGTCAAGTTTGCCATCATGCAGGTAAGGTTAGGATTCAAGTCCAGGGCGGCGAGAATATCACTGGTTTCTTCCTCAAGTCCTCGAGCGTTCAGTGGTATTGAAATCCACACCGGCTTAAGCTCAAGTAGAATGCTGGTGGGCGATAGGTAAGTGAGGCAAGGAGCATGTCCATAACTGCCTGGGGAAAGGCAGTCTAAGTGAAACGGTCCAGAACTAGCCTCCAGTGGTAAGGGGGCTGGGCAGTGGGTGGCAGCTTGTTTTTTAAACGTTGCTGCCTTTTAATGTCATTAGGCCTCTGTTTGTCCCTGTATGATGAGCCTGTCATCCCATTTCTGTCTCCTCTCTAAATAGTCCCTAATGTTCAGTCTCTCCTCACATGGAAGTCTTTCGAGGCCTCTATTAATCCCCATTGCCCTTTGTTGTCCTCCCACCCGCCCATTTCTGGTGCATTCTTCTTGAGAGGAGGTGACTAGAACGGAACGCAGTATCCAGGGGAGAGCATCCCCCGGAGTTAGCCAATAGTATTATAATAGCAGCAGTATTTGCTCACCCTATTCCTAACGTTTTGTTTGCTGCTTCACCCTGAGGAGTGGCTCTCACTGAGCTGCTTACTCTGATCTCCAGGTCTCTTTTTCCGAAGTGCTGGGTTTTCAGTGAAGTGTAAGCAGTGTCAGGGCAGTTCAGGTAGTACCTTCCCATGTGCATTACCTTGCCCTGAATGTCATCGGCCATTGTGCTGCCCAGTTGTTTAGCTTTGATAGATCCCTCTGGAGCTCCTAATTTGAGAGAGATTCTGGAGAAAGGCTTGTAGATTGTGAGTTGGACTTTGCCTACCTCCTGGTGGAGAGTGAGCTCCAGTTTGCCCTGCTTTCTCCAGCCCTGGTAGCTGGACTCCTGTACCTTGAGGCATCCCAGCGGGTGCTGTGTGAAGAAGTAAGAGGTTGGGGGAGAAGAGCTCATGAGGAGCCAGAGAGGCTAGAGTGGTGGATATTGACAGAGGGATCTGGGGAATTGCCTCAGAAAATGACGGGGACACACACACACACACACACACACACACACTAGTTCAGAGAGGGTGAAGTGAACAGTGAGGAGCAGTCACTGGCTGGGTCAGAGGGATAAGACAGGTGTTTGAGATGAGTAGCTCAAACGTGTGAGCTGTAGAGGTGATGGTGGGAGACCAAGAAGAATGAGGAAGGTGGAAGGGGTCAAAGCACATAGGGTCAGCTGCAGTGCTCTTTGGAGAAGCAAAATACAGACACATGAAGCGTGGCTCCATGCCAGGGAGTTTCCATAGAAACAGCAGCGTCTGCTGCAGTCTCTGCCTCTGCAGTATACGATGCAGAGATTTCAATTCCCATAAATCTAGCACCTTCTCTGCTAAAAGGAATAAAGGTGTAAGAAGCACAGTGGGGATGGTTGGGGTCTTTGATTTATGAGCTGCTTCTATAGTGTCTGTTATCTGAGCAGCTGATGCCTCATTTCACCTTAATACACACACGCAAACAGAGTGCTGCCCACAATGAATGCCATACGAACAGCTACCATGACTGCAAGCCACAATATCAGACCCATCAAATATCCAGGAACAAAACAAAGGATGAAATTTACCCAAACAGATCCTCCTCCTGTGCTTAGTACACACAACTTCTGCACTTAACTCAAGGTTGTACGCTAAAATTGTACATTTTGACCCTGCCTACGCACACCTGTACATGGGAATCGCTTTGCTCACCACTAAACTGTAGCTGTCTCTGGAGTGGAATGCAGCAGCTGTTCAACAGAGTACATCAAAGATACAAACAGTTCAGGACAGGAGGTGAAGAAAAATCCCGAATCCAAGTGAAAATGCCAGGGCCCTTTATGTAGAATTGGATTTCAGCCCAGACTCCAGCGTTTGCACCTGTTCATTTAAATGCCAGGACACCCTTGATTGTCAGAGTTGGTCAGGAGCTCTCTTTGCTGTTTTATAGAGGAAACCGCAAACAGAGCACCTGACCAACTACGACAGACACAACCCCTCATAACGACCTATGGGGTTTTAACGTAATCATTCAAGGAAGAATGCCAGCTACAGAATAGTCAACATATGCTGCAGGATATTGGATTCTCCTGGGTGGTCTCCCATTCTAGTAGTGAGAAAGCCTGACCCTGATTAGTTGGAGCCTGACAGGATCACAGCCCCAGAAGCATTAAGTTTTCTCCACGCATTACATTGTAATCTAGATCTTCAAGGTTAAACTCAGGCAACTGCACAGATACATTTGAGTGTGCAACTTACATGCATGTGCAAATCAAGTATAGTGCAACCTCTCTTGAGGGGTCGACAAGCATTGGTTGCTGAACAGAGATGGTCATTTAACAAAGGTGGAGGAGAAACCTACTCGAAGTTTGGAGGTACCTTTAAGAGGAGTTCAGAAGGCAAGAAATTGCCTCATATGGCTTGTCACTTCTATGCACTTAATTTTATTTGCACACATGTAGCTGGTTAAATGCCTAACTTTCCTTGTGCTCAGTAAGATACCTGACCTGTGCTCATAAGTTAGCCGTGTGGAGAATTTCACATGACTAACTATAGAAACATATTTTAGTTTACCAAGTGATGTTACAGGCCTGAGATGCCTTTTAGCTGGCCCTGTTTTATGGAGATATAGATATAAAATCACCTTTGATTACCAGATGGAATCTAATTGGTGGAGACAGGGTCATGTGTCCGTACTTCTGTGTTCCTGAAAAAGGGGCTTTTTAGGCTTGAGATGATCCAAAGCTCTCTAAAATCTTGCAGTCATCTAACCAGAGGCAAGGATAGATGTCATGGGCTTGCTGTTATATTTTGAAATAGTTGATATTCCTTGGATCATAGAATCATAGAAGATTAGGGTTGGAAGGGACCTCAGGAGGTCATCTAGTCCCACCCCCTGCTCAAAGCAGGACCAACCCCAAGGGTAACCAACTTGAGTTATCCTTAAGAACACCGTACACTTGCTGCCCTAGAAAAGGCCATCTAATTCAGCACGCCTGCTCGTTTTGATGCACTGTAACCTTGCTTCTTCCCAGACTTTTCATTCCTCCTCTTAGAGACACATCTAGTGATCCTTCAGCTAGACCTAGACTTTGGGCTTAACTCTCACAGTGAAGCAAAGGATTCCAGAGAGTGAGTTGGGACTCCCTTCTGCCCTGCTGCTCATGTGCTAAGAGCCCTGTGTGGTACATGTGACAAACATCTCATGGTTCTTTGTTTTTCTGCTTTATTTCCAGAATCTTTGGAAGCTGCCAAAGCCAGCAAATTGGTGAGTACTTCAGCTTGAGACCCTGCCGCCTGCTTGGAGAAACTCATTCCACCACGTCCGTGTGTTGGCTTTTGGGAGGGGAGGGTTTGCGCACGCTAATCTGCAGAATTCCCTTCATTAGCTCTTCCTGCCTTTCCAGAGTGTAACCAGACGTCTGTCTGCAGCCTCACAGAACTAGTAACCATGCATACAGCAGGGCCGGGATTTCAGCCAATGAACATCTCAGATTAAAGGGGGCAAAAAAGGAACCCCCCAAATAAAATGGCTGGTGAGGAAAGTCTAGCTTTTGCGTTATCCGGGTGTTACACAAGGGATTCCCCTTGGGGTCAGTCAAGAGAGCCAGGCACATCAAAAATAGCTTTATTCCAAATAACCAGAAACCTTTTCAGTTGGTTACAAACAGCCCTCTCCCAGTGGGATCAGACCGGGGGGAGGGAGGCCAACAGTCCAGCACTGCAGCCGGCGGCCGCTTTTTTTTTTTTTTTTTTTTTTGGGGTCATTTCTTCATTTGATTGAGTATTGCAGAGCTTGCCCCTGAATGCTCTCCAGTACTGTGAAATCACTGTTTCCCTCCAAATGGCCCTTACATTTCAGAGAAGGAAATGACTCTCTCTTTAACAGCATATTTTAAATTCACCTTTTCTGCTGAAAACCTGTTGGATTTCCTGGATATGTGCCTAGTTTACAGTTAAGCTTTATATATACTGCCCTAATTATCTTTGTCCAGGAGTTCTCGTGGCTCATACGAGACCTACGTGGGTGCCTGTTACTGTGTCTGAGTGTCCAATCATAGGACTGGAAGGGACCTCGAGAGGTCATCTAGTCTAGTCCCCTGCACTCGTAGCAGGACTAATTATCTAGACCATCCCTGACAGGTGTTTGTCTAACCTGCTGTTAAATATCTCCAAAGATGGAGATTCCACAACCTCCCTAGGCAGTTTATTCCAGTGTTTAACCACCCTGACAGTTAGGAACTTTTTCCTAATGTCCAACCTAAACCTCTCTTGCTGCAATTTAAGCCCACTGCTTCTTGTCCTGTCCTCAGAGGTTAAGAAAAACAATTTTTCTTCCTCCACCTTGTAATAACCTTTTACATACTTGAAAACTGTTATCATGTCCCCTCTGTTTTCTCTTTTCCAGACTAAACAAACCCAATTTTTTCTATCTTCCCTCATAGGTCATGTTTTCTAGATCTTTAATCATTTTTTGTTGCTCTTCTCTGGACTCTCTCTCCAATTTGTCCACATCCTTCCTGAAATGTGGTGCCCAGAACTGAGCACAATGCTCCAGTTGAAGCCGTATCAGAGCGGAGTAGAGCGGAAGAATTACTTATTGTGTCTTGCTTACAACGCTCCTGCTAATACATCCCAGAATGATGTTAGCTTTTTCTGCAACAACGTTACACTGTTGACTCATATTTAGCTTGTGATCCACTATGACCCCCAGATCGCTTTCCGCAGTACTCCTTCCTAGGCAGTCATTTCCCATTTTGTATGTGTGCTACTGATGGTTCCTTCCTAAGTGAGTACTTTGTATTTGTCCTTATTGAATTTCATCCTATTTACTTCAGACCATTTCTCTAGTTTGTCCAGTTCATTTTGAATTTTAATCCTATGCTCCAAAGCACTTGCAACTCCTCCCAGCTTGGTATTGTCCACAAACTTTATAAGTGTCCTCTCTATGCCATTATCTAAATCATTGATGAAGATATTGAACAGAACTGGACCCAGAACTGATCCCTGTGGGACCCCACTCTTTATGCCCTTTTCCAGCATGACTGTGAACCACTGATAACTACTCTGGGAATGGTTTTCCAACCAGTTTTGCACCCACCTTATAGTAGCTCCATCTAGGTTGCATTTCCCTAGTTTGTTTATGGGACGGTCACGCGAGACAATATCAAAAGCTTTACTAAAATCAAGATGTACCATGTCTACCGCTTCCCCCCATCCGCAAGGCTTGTTACCCTGTCAAAGAAAGCTCAGGTTGGTTTGACACGATTTGTTCTTGACAAATCCATGCTGACTGTTACTTAGCACCTTATTATCTTCTAGATGTTTGCAAATTGATTGCTTAATTATTTGCTCCATTATCTCTCCGAGTACAGAAGTTAAGCTGACTGAGCTGTAATTCCCCGGTTGTCCTTATTTCCTTTTTTATAGATGGGCACAAGATTTGCCCTTTTCCAGTCTTATGGAATCTCTCCCGTCTCCCATGACTTCTCAAAGATAATCCCTAATGGCTCAGATATCTCCTCAGTCAGCTCCTTGAATATTCTAGGATGCATTTAATCAGGCGGTGGTGACTTGAAGACATCTAATTTGTCCAAGTAACTGGTTCTTTCCGTATTTTAGCCTCTTCTGATCCTACCTCATTTTCACTGGCATTCACTATGTTAGACGTCCAATCACCACCAACTTTCTTGGTGAAAACCGAAACAAAGAAGTCATTAAGTCATCTGCCATTTCCACATTTTCTGTTATTTGTCCCTCCTCATTGGGTAACGGGCCTACCCTGTCCTTGGTCTTCCTCTTGTGTCTAATGTATTTATAGAATGTTTTCTTGTTACCCTTCATGTCTCTAGCTAGTTTGATTTTGTTTTGTGCCTTGGCCTTTCTAATTTTGTCCCTACATACTTGTGTTATTTGTTTATATTCATCCTTTGTAATTTGACCGAGTTTCCACTTTTTGTAAGACTCTTTTTTGATTTTTAGATCATTGAAGATCTCCTGGTTAAGCCAGGGTGGTCTCTTGCCATACTTCCTATTTTCCTACGCAGGGGGTTAGTTTGCTCTTGTGCCCTTAATAATGTCTCTTTGAAAAACTGCCAACTGTCTTCAATAGTTTTTCCCCTTAGACTTGCTTCCCATGGGATCTTACCTACCAACTCCCTGAGTTTGCTAAAGTCTGCCTCCTTGAAATCCATGTCTTTATTGTGCTGTTCTCCCTCCTACCATTCTTTAGAATCGTGAACTCTGTCACTTTCACCCAAGCTGCCTTCCACTTTCAAATTCTCAACCTGTTCTTTCCTAGTTGTCAAAATCAAATCTAGAACAGCTTCTTCCCTGGTAGCTGTCTCCACCTTCTGAAATAAAAAAAGTCTCCAGGACATTTGAAGAACGTACTGGATAATCTGTGCCTGATGTGTTATTTTCCCAACAGATGTCTGGGGAGTTGAAGTCCCCCATCACCACCAAGTCCTGTGCTTTGGATGATTTTGTTAGTTGTTTAAAAAAAAGCCTCATCCTCCTCTTCTTCCTGGTTTGGTGGTCTGTAGTAGATCCCTACCATGACATCACCCTTGTTTTTTACCCTTTTTATCCTTATCCAGAGACTTTCAACAAGTCTATCTCTTATTTCCATCTCAACCTCAGTCCATGTGTATACATTTTTAATATCTAAGGCAGCACCTCCTCCCTTTTCCCCTGCCTGTCCTTCCTGAGCAAGCTGTACCCTTCTGTACCAATATTCCTGTCGTGTATTAGCCCACCAGGTCTCTGTGATGCCAATTATGTCATAATTGTTTTTATTTATTAGTATTTTGAGTTCTTCTGCTTATTCCCCATACTTCTCGCATTCATATAGAGACATTTAAGATACTGATTTGATTCCACCCCCAGTTCTGTCTTGTCTCTCCTTTATCCCTGCTATAACAGCCCATGTTCCCCCACAAATTCCGACCCTTCTCCCAGGTCTCCAGGTTCTTGACTTACCTGTGGGCTTTGGTCACCTGCCCCCTTTAAACCTAGTTTAAGGTACGTTTCCTGAGCCAACAGAAAATTGGAGCAGAGGCATAGATGCCATTCTTTAACCCTTCGGAGACTTTGGACAGTCTGACCACACTCAGTCAAAGAGCTGCTCAGACTTTAGAAAGGCTCGGTATGTATATGGGTGCTGAGGACATTCACTGTTACATGGCTGCACAGTTTTTGTACATCTTCTTAACACAAGCCAAACGCTAACTGCTGGGGTTAGGGGGAAACTTCCGCAACAGACAGGCTATACCAGGGATTCTCAAACTTCATCGCACCGCGACCTCCTTCTGACAACAAAAATTACTACACGTCCCCAGGAGTGGGGACCGAAGCCTGAGCCCCACGGCCCAGGATGGGGGGGCCAAAGGCCAAGCCCCCCCGCCCCATGGGGGGGGGGGGGGGGGGGGGGGGGGGGGGGTGACACCAAAACTGAAGCCCAAGGGCTTCAGCCCCAGGCAGGGGGCCTGTAACCAAAGCCATGACACACAGGGCTGAAGCCCTCAGGCTTCATCTTCAGCCCTGGGCCTCAGCAAATCTAAGCCAGCCCTGGCGACCCCACTAAAACAGGGTCGTGACCCACTTTGGGGTCCCGACCCACAGTTTGAGAACCTCTGGGTTATTCCATAGTGGCTCACTTGCGTTTTTCTTGCACCATCCTCTGAAGAATCTGATGCTGGCCACAGTCCGAGACATACACTGGAGTACATGCAGCCCATCCCATCTAGTGATTCCTGCTTTATAACACGCTGTGGATATTCCTCCTCCTAAACATTCACTGTGGCAATTGCCAGTGTTCTACATGTACTGTAGGGTTCTTTGGGCATCCTCTTAACTGCTATGAATGCTGTCTGGGTGCAAAACGCCCACTGATCCCCGTGGGAGCTGCATGCTCACTACATACAGCCTTCCTTTCAGCTTCAGCTCTGCCAGCTCAGGCTGCATTGATCACACCGCTTTCCTTGCGACCTGGGATAGCTGCGCACATGGAAACAACGTGGGCTAAAGGCTTTGAGCTGCACTCACAGCATTTTGCTCATGTGTGGGCAAGCTGCGCATCTGGCTTGGGTGTAAGTGAGACACTGTTGACTGGTACCCTATAAATACTCCAGATACTTAGAATGGGTTTTGCTTTAGGGCTTAATGTTAAAAATTCTGACTGCCCAGTTCGCCCCTCTGTCTGCGCGTGGCAAGCCTGTGCCGAGATACTTGATAATCTGGCTCTGAGCCGGCATAAAATCCTAGGCA